TAGGTTTTCTGGCGTCAGTCTCCTGTCTGTTCTCTGGTAGCATGCCTCTCTCCTCTCTCTTCTATCCATTTGGGGCAGTAGAAGATCGTGTGCACGGCCGTATCCCGTTTCGTCGCAGTAAACGCATTCGTCGTTATTAGTCTTCCCAATATGTCTGGTAGAAGCCCTAAAGCAGCGGTGTCCTGTTAGGGCCTGCGTGATGCAGAAGTTTGTATCTCTGTGTTTTCTGTTGAATCAGTCATTATTCGATTTGCGGGAACAGCCTCTTTGTCCATCTACAATTCTCCGAAGTGTTATAAACTTTAGTTTTGTATCAATCTAGACCCCCAGGTATTGGACAGCTTTTTTCAGTATTTTTCCGTGTCCAGAATGTTTAAAGTCGGTCGGGGCGGTTGTTTTTTTGGGTGGTCAGTACAATTTCAGTATTTTTAGCTGCCAGTTCTAGGTGGTTGTCTTGGAGCCACTCGCATATGTCTATCATTGCAATGTGTATTTTCGTCTGCAGGTCCGCTATGTGGTTCCCTAGGACCGTCATGGCAATGTTGTCCGCGTACCCGATCAGCGTCACTCCCGCTGGTATGTTTGTATGTTTAGTTCGAGCAGCCCGTCGTACAGAATGTTCCACAGAGTTGGCGCCAACACCGAACCCTGTGGGACGCCGCATGTCATCTGTATTACTTCCCTTTGCCCCTCGGCTTCTATGATTATTTTTCTATTTGTCAAATAACTTCTGATGATTCTGCTCACTCAGTTCTACTACTATCTCCTTCCACGGTGCTGTGTTAAAGGCATTTTTAATGTCTAACGTGACAAGAGCTCCTAATTTTCGGCGTCTGTGACTTTTTTTGCTAATACCGTTTCTTAAAATCTGTGTTACTCTCATCACTGCGTCTGTTATTGATTTATCTGGCCTAAAACCGTATTGCCTATCGGATAAATTTTCTTTTAGATTTAGGTCTTCCCTGAGCCTGTCTCTTATTAGATGCTTCAAGAATTTGCTGCCGACATTTAGAAGACAGATATTTTACTTTTTCCTTTGGGTCCTTTCTCGGTTTTTCTATTAGTACCGACTTTGCCACTTTCCATTCTTCCGGGAATTCTCCTTTCTGGATGATGGATTGGAAGGCTTGGCGGAATATTTCTGTTTTCTTTGGTATGACTATCTGTAAGACCTCCACTGGTATTCCGTCCCCTTCCGGAGCTTTTTCCTTTTTCAGTCTATTGCTTGCTCCAATGATTTCCTCCGTTGTTATATCGGGTATCCATATTCCTCTTTCATTTTCGCTCCAGGTAGTCTCGTCTTGTGGGAAATAGGTCTCTTGCCACTTGTTAATAAATAACTTGCTCTTTCCATTATGGTTGCCAGTGTTTGTGATCTATTCTTCAGCTTCCTGCTTGCTATCTTATATCTTGTACCCTTCTCCTCAGGAGTTGTCAATCTCTTCACATAATTTTTTGCAGCAGCTCCTTTTGGCTTTCTTGATCGCCAGTCTAAGCGTTCTTTCTACCTCTGCATCTTGGGCGGTGTCTGTGTTCTTTTTTTATTTTTCCTAGTTAGTTTCCTCCTAGAGGCTGGCACTCCTTCCTTAGCTCTGCAATCTCTTGCGACCACCAATATACCGGCTTTCTGTATCCTGTCTTATTCATACGTGGCATCGATATGTCGCATAATTCCGTGAGTATTTCAGTTATTTGCTTCGCTATTGTAATGGTACCTGTAATATTTTTACCGTTCGAGTGCTATCTTCTTTGTCTTTAGTTTTATTATGGTGGGTTATCGACATTAGTTCTGTTGAAGAGTCCTTTGTACTGTCTCCCATGCATGGTTTGCGACTCGTTCCTTTACTCGCAGAAGATAGTGTTCGTCGGATGGCTTTGCAGTTCGCTGTTCCTGTCATGTGCCTATTTTGTTCTCCTGACAGTTTCTAGACATGTGTCCACCTTTTCCGCATTTGAAGCATAATTTCTTCCTATCAGGGCCGTTACAGTTTTCCGCTTTATGGTCATACACCCAGCATTTATAATATCTTGGGACTGCGATCCTTCTGTCCAATCGTTTTCTGGAGAGGCCAATACGTAGGTATGTATGGGTTTGCCAGAAGCTTTTCTACTTTTTTTGCTCAAGAGTAAGTGTGACCGCTTGTGTGTAGCCCATGTTCGGTCTTGAGTCCCCTATTTTATAATATTTCTCCTCAAGTGTCCCCACTGCTGTCTTTATTCCAGCAATCACTTCTTGCTTAGTGACCGTGAAGTCCAGCCCTCTAATGTGGATAGCTTCGAAACTACCTCCGCTAGTGCGTACTTTTATATCTTCTGACGAACCTTCTATGATCTTTCTTAATTCTCGAATGGCGAATACGTCCGTGTCCAGTGTAATTAGCACGTTTTCATTTTTGGCCATTTCAATTGCTCTTATTGCTAGGCTGGCCTCGTTGTTTCTCAACTTATCTTTTAGTTGCTTCACGATTTCCTCATATTTCTTTCCCTTCAATTATCAAGGCTGGTGGTCTTTCTCTATTTTGTTGCGTTCCTATTCTTCATTTTGTATCGTCTTTCTTGTCGTGAATATTACTTCCTGCGTGGTTCCTTTATGGAAAATTGTTTCTACCATTTTTCTCAACCTTTCAGTGCTGCAGCATTCTAGGGGGTGTAGCGCGATCCACTCATCGTCCTTGGTTTCCTCTCTGAGTTCTTCCATATTGTCCCAGACGTACCTCTCGGAATCACCTAGTGTTATTTTTATTACCTTTTAACAGGCTTCCAGATCTGCTTGTTTTTTCCACCTAGATCTCTGCTCGAGGACTACGAAAGTCTCGTCTGTTTCGATCAATTCTGGGTGTCTGCCTTTGTACATCGCCTGTATGCTCTTGTCCATAGCGGTGTCTGTTGGTTCAACCATCACAACCTTCACCGTTGTCTGTTTCGTCTCTAGTGGGTTGCCTACTGAAACCTCCGTGTGTACGAATAATTCTTCTTCTCATTTTTTGGGCGCCGTGTCCTTCCATTTTTCATATGTGTCTATTCCTTCTAGTGTTTTGCAGTCATTGTTATTGTAGTTGTTCCAAGTTATGGTCAGTCTATCTGTTTGGGTTTCATTGTCCACCATTAATGGTCGTGGCCGCTGGTTCGCTTGCTCGTTCTCTGGATTCGTTTCTCTGGGATTCTTTCTGCATTTGGAGCAGTAAGCTTCATTAGATTGAGCCTCTCTTTTTTTCTTTATCTTTTTGTCTGCCGGATTCTTGGCCGGGCTTGTTTGGGTGTCAAACGTCATCTTCTCTGCTTGCTCATATCATCCAATCCATGCTAAGCCTTCCGTTTAGCATTTTTACTTGTTTTTTTAGTTCTTGGGTCAATTCTTTTATTGCTCTTTTCGTATTATTTTCCAGGTTTTTAACGAGTTCTGAGCTTATATTTATAATCATATCTCTCGTTTCTTTCAGAACCAGATATTCGGGTCTTTCTCTCGTTTTGTATAGGGTCTCTGTGTCTGGGGTGTCTGGCATAGACGTTTCCCCTATGTTCCTTTTGTTTGTCCTTTCGGAGACTAGAGAAGTACTTCTTTTTAATCTCTCGAATATTTGGTGATGTTTTGCAGTGGTATTATTCTGGTTGCTCACTACCGATCTGTTCTACTTTTCATGCCATGTAAGGTCTATTGTGGTCATCGAGGCTCTGCGTTCCTTGCTTGCATTTTCCTTTCCTTCTATGGTGTGTGTCTTTCCTTCATTCAATCATCGATATTGCGCCGAATACGCCCGCAAATATCTCCTCCATCTGGCGGTCTATGTCCTCTTCCGCTGTTTCAGCAGTGGTCACTGGCGCCCCGGCCTTGTTGCCTACCAGGGGCGCTGTACAGTCACTTGGTAACGGTCGGGGCTGGCCTGCACTTCCACCAGTAATCCTGAGCGGAACTGACGTATCCCTCCTCTGCTCCGTGAACCTCTTATCCTTTTCGTCGCGATCCATCATATTTGTTCCAGTGGTTTCTTCTGGGTGTCCTTCCCTTGGTTATTTGGGGGAAAGTAAAGGATGCCCCTAGCCCTCGGGTGTCCTAATAGCTTCGGGGAGGTAAGTGAAGTGGGGTTGGGAATATTCAGGATGGGATCACCCCGGGTGTAGGGTAGGATGAGAGCCCGGTTAGGGTACCTCGAGTTTGCCACGCTCGTGTCCGCAGTGCGAACTACCTGAGGTTGAGGTGTCCTTAGCAACGACTGACCGATGCGAATGTGCTGTCAGTCACTAGGCCCCTCCACCAGCGACCAGGTCTCACAGCTCCTCGGAGGGAATACTCACTTGTCTACGAATCTGTTAAGTTACCTAACTCTACTCCATTTGATTATTGGACCACTTAATTTGAGTAGGGGAAAAAAGGAATATTTGGGTGATATTTGCCTTAAACTAGTCCTATTTGCAATTTTTCGTGCCTCTGATTTCTATTATTTTGGAAATTTGAGAATTTTCTTCTTGAAAATATTTCAACCATATTTAAAATTAGTAGAAAGTAATAAAAACTGGAACCAACGGCACCCGTTGCAACTAAAGCATTAGGTAACCATCCTTGAGAGTAAAGTTGAGCTGCCTTATTCCTCCGTAAATAAAGGAAACGCTTACTATAGATAAATCAAACTAAGCAATTTGATACTATAATATTTTTAAGCCCCTTGTGAATTTATGGGAAACTTGCAATTTGGGAAGGAAACTCAGAGATAACTAAACCGAATCTATTCAAAGAAAGGACAAATTGATATTGAAATTATTACATATTATTGTTATCGATAATTTCAGGCAGGCTATTTTTAACTCAAGAGTTTCAAGTTTTATGCGCAAGCTTACTGAAGTGTGATAGTCACGAACTCAAGATTTTCCCTCTCCCCAACAGAGACGAAAAACAGAGATTGCTTCCTATATAGAAATTATACAATGATGTCATCATTTAGCAGGATACCAAATAATTTGAATTGAAAAAAAAAAAAAAAAAACACAAAATTAAGGAAAATTCGCAAACGAAAAATCAAAGTCAACCTTGCTGGTGTTAAATGTGGGGAGGCGAAGTATAAAAGCAAAAGAATGGACAAGGCGCGGCTGTTTACCACTTTGTGCTTTGTTTTCATTTCTTGTGGTTGTAGTTCAGCATGAAGCTTTACGTAAGTAGATACCTACCACTGGTGGAAGAAAGGGAATTTTATAGTAATAATTTACGATAGAAAAGTGCCTGTTATCCCGTTTCACATCCCGCTCAAACAATTTTTTTTTAAATATGAAGGGCTAGAGACATCGTGGTTATTTTCCAGTATCACTTAACATAATTAAATTTAAAAAAAAAAACTTAAAAATAAAGCACTTTTTTTTTGAAGTTGAGTGTTAGCAATTTTCAAAATGTGAACTTTACATGGGGTAGTTTAAAACCATGAATAAATACATAAGCTAATTACTCACGATTATTCACATTTCTTTGATATAAAAATAGAGGTTTAGTTTTTCATTAACTTTTTGAACTTTTCTCTCTGCACATATAATGTATTATCTAACTGTCTCATTACCAAAAAAAAAAAATTACTACCACTGATTTATTAATGACATAGGTATGCTAATTGATTGTATATGTTAATATTTCAATTATGTACCTATTTTAAAAGTGAATTCGATTAACTAATTATTATAACTGGTGCAAAAGGTCTAAAAAACGTCCTTGTGACATGGCTTTATGACTAGCACAAATTTTTATCTTGGATATTTCAATGTTAAGGCGGTATTGGGAGATATATTGTGCACCAATGGTACCCGGAAACTGTGGTCGTTTTTTTTTTTATGTGGGACGAACTATGTTCTTTTAGAATTAATATTGTGTTACTTGAAAATATAGTTAGATAATTAATTTAAAATGGATGATTTTAAAATAGTCAATATATCCGTATATATCTAGTAACTATTGGTTCTTTGGCACTTTTTGGCTAGAAATTTTCTCGTATTTTGTGTTTCAATAATCAATAAGAAAATATACCCATCTTATAGAAAGATAATTAATAGAATTCTGAGCCGTTTAGTAATAATATTATTACAATTTTTAGCTATAGAAATATCCTCACTACCTACTTATTTTGTCAGTTTCTGATGTCACTCCTTATAAGGATTCGTTTTATTGAGTTCTTCCATTTTTTGCTTACTAAAATTCATTGTGGGATTTGCACTAAATGTTTTTATGATACAATTATGATTTAGCATTTAATTTATTTATATATGGATAAATAAATAGATATTAAATTTCCTTTGACACAGCTTCACCAAACTGTTACTCATAGGATTTTAGCTGGTATTTTAGCATACCTTTTGGCAACTTCCGGGTTTCCTACCAATAACTTCTCAAGATAAGGATTCTCCATCTGAAAAAAAAGAAAATTATCCTTGTCAATATACTAGAAATAGATGCTGTGCTAGAAAGTTGCCTTAAAACGTCAAAAAATATACAGAAAACAGTTTTATGATAACAAAACGTCATGACTGCCGGAAGGTAGAAGAAATCCTCATGGCGCCAATAATGATTGGATTGCCCTATTTTGCGCATGTGCAGTATTATGATATATTTAATTCTTTCCATTTGATTTTAGGTGCTGCTTTCAGCAGTACTAACTATAGCTTCTGCACAATCCAGTGGATATGCCAGCGGAAACAATCGTCCCTACACAACTCCAATACCAATTTTGAAGCAAATTGATAAGCATAATGAAGATGGATCCTATAGTTACGGGTACGAGATCTCCTATAAAAATATTCAAATGAAAATATTGGAATGTTAATTTTTAGTTATGAAAATGCTGATGGTACTTACAAAATAGAAACCAAATATCAAACCGGTGAAGTTTTCGGAAAGTACGGATATATTGACGATACTGGAAAATTGAGAGAAATTGAATATGGAGCTAGCCAACGTGGTTTTGAACCTGCGGGAACTGACGTCACCGTAAGTAATTTTCTCATAGAAAATAGTCGACCTTTTAAAATTGAATCAAAAATGCTAATTAGGTAAATATTATTCCACTTAATTAATCACAATTAATATGAGTACAGTACATACATACATACATACATACATACATACATAACAACGTCAACCAAGAAATATTAGTATACCTAATCGTTAATTTGATTCGGACTTTACCATGAAAATACTGAACCAATAGAACAAAAAAAATTTCAGAGAATATGTGTAAAAAATATTGATCTAGTGGAGGTAGGTACGTGTTTAATTTAAAAATTTTATGTACGTTTTAGGTTGCTCCGCCAACATTAAGTCAAAATCCAGACGCCACTTTACGTCCCTTAGGCCCCAACGAAGAAGACGACGGTCAATACCGTGAAGACCCTGCAGTTTATTACAACACCGACCCCAATTATGTACCAAAAGAACCTGAAACATACAATTCTTATTCTCGTCCTTCATTTGAAATGAACTATACTCCTACCACCTATACCCAGCCGGCTTATACACCTCCTGCTCCTAGACCAACTTATGCGCCTAGCTACGCGCCAGCATACAATCCACCAACTCCAGCACCTGTGTACAATCCACCCCAATATAACAGTTATTATAATAATAGAATCAATAATCCCACTCCTCAATATAATAATAATTACAATAATTATGCTCCTCAAAGGTCCTATTGGAACCCTTCACCACCATCTCATCCTGGGTACAATATGTTCCAAGGACATCCTGCTACAAATATCGATATCTGGTCTGGAAGTTATACAGTCAATTATAGAAGATAATGTGAAAGCACAATGTTGATTTTTAATGTAAATAAATAAGTTTTAATAGACGTGAAGAATAGATGTATCTACTTTGTCAGACCAACTGATAGATTATTCTTTATAGCAAATTCTCCAAGAAATATTGTACTGACTATTGAATACAGGATGGCGTAGGTATACAATTTTTTTATTCATTTATGGTTTCAAGTAATTAGTTTTTATAAATTTCAAAAAATCATAATTTTTTTTATCTACGTCATCACTTGCCGTAGAATAAGTTAATTTTTGCCTTATTTATATGTCGCAACTTAAATTATTTGTAATACAATATTGTGATACAAAAATATCAATAAAAATATATACAAAGTATTCTGTTTCAATAACAATAGTTTGTATACTGTGTTACCTCCAGGTGCCTACAATAGGAAGAAAACTAAAAACTTCACCCTGTATAAGTGCAAACAATTATTGCAAAATCACCTTCTAAATGCCAAAGAACCATAAAAAGTAGACCGGTTTTGTTCATTGAGAATTTGTCGCACCAACCTAGCATTGATTAGCTATAATGTTGTCAAGGATTTCCTATGGGGCTCCACCCTGATATTTGATTACGTTTGAAAATTCTTGTTACTTGCTCATGTAATTCAATAGGTAGGTCGAAAATGGTACAAGAGATTTATCAATTCAAATCATCGCCATTTTATTTTGGAGTGGATGGTGAATGAGAACCACTGACGGTTAGGTTCACGGTAAGCCCTGGTATTTTCTCCAAAAGTTCTCTTCTACTGACCATTATTGAAATGGATTAATCAACGCTCGGTGATTTATTTTACAGACTTTCTTAGGGGTACAATCTACAACATACAGTTCCTATCTTTCCAGGGGTTGAAGTTCGTATATGCCTTAAATAAGAGTAGGTATATACAGAGTAATTTTATACAGTAATTGTAAAGTAAATTATTGTAGAACCGATAATTAACCCTCGGCTTGGCCCGACTCGAGGAGTGGCACAGGTGAGCTCAAAACAGTGAAAATGCGTCTGACTATTCCAAAATTCACAGAGAAGCTATAGAAATCCAGGAGCGTCAACCAATTAGAATGAAGAATGCTTTCTGCTGGCGCATACTTAGCAACTTTATTATGGACCTCTGATTTTAAAAAAGGCCATGATGTAGATACCATCAGAGCATCAATCACGGAGCAGCACCACATACTCATCGAGCATGTCTTGGGGAATGGTTTGGATTTCAAATGCAATATTTGGATTAAGATCTTGATTAGTGGAAGGTTTATTTTGGTAGGTCTTGGACTTAAACAAGCTTACGCCAAAAATCCCAAACATTTGACGATTTTTACTTTTTTTTTCTTAAATCAAATTCCTTGGAAATGTTTGCCTAACATTTTGAATTTAAACTCAAGCTGTGAGGTACATGGTGGCACATGGCATGATGGGAGAAATCTCTCAATTGTGTGGCAACGAAAGTTGTGTAGATCTGTTTTATTCATCATTTAGTTGTCTACAATTTTTCTATGGAACACTGAATGCGTTTTGGGACGGGATAAAATATAAGTAATCTTGTTGTGGTCGCAACTGGTTCCAAGGTACCAACGTGAGGTGAGAGCTATATCTTATTTTACTATTGGAAACCAAGACAAGAACGAGCCCAATCTGTAGTCACCCTATTTCAAAATGAAAGATAGACTAACAAAGTAAAATCAGATCACAGTTACCTTTACGTACCAAATTCCAATTATTAGAGAGATTATGAGCCACCTATTTGATCAACGTTATCGGTTATTTTGCTCATGCGCAATAGTGAAAAAATAACCGGTTTACTTAATAAGCGGTAACGTACTACGCTATTTATGTGGAAATAAACGGAACGTTATTAGCCGATAACGTTTTAACATTTTTTCTGCATTTCGACGTCTTTTTATATTTTCAATGTTATTCATGAAGTGCAGTACACAATTACACAAAGCAAAATACAAATGAATACCTAACAATTCTAACATAAACAACAGACAACATAAAATTTGATGTTAGTTACACAAAATCAAAATCCTAACCACAAATTTTCATTAACGTTTAGCGTATAACGTCAATCACAAGTTTTGGCTTCAAAAACTAAAAAAGGCTAAATGTCATCCGCTATTTTTCAAAGACTGCGCTTGCTCAGTTTATCGTTTAGCGTATAACGTATTTGAAAATTTATGTGGCTCAAAATCTCTCTATTCTCACTCCAGAAACTTCCAAACTAACATCAAGCATCATTGACTACTCCAGTTACACTACGAACGAATTAAAAGAAAAACTGTTTGGATATTTCAAGGCAAGAATTGGTTTAGGGAATTATCTGGAGTAAGACAAGGAAGGAGATCTGGATGGGGATTCTAATTGCTCGACGTCGAATGATGCGACTCGTTGATGTTGCCTATGAGAGACGCTCGACTCGTATCGACTAGTGAAATTGTAATCCGGCTTCTGTTGATGGATTATTGCGTTAGAAGCTAGTTGCAGAATTTATTAATATTAACTGTTTTTTAAGTTTATCATCCTGCTTCTTTCAGCCACGTGACCTGGTGCTCAAATAGCTACACTGCAAAAAAGGCAATTGCGGATAATATAGCTGCTCGTATAGCTGCTAGTGTATCAAAAACTTTTTTAGGCTAACAGACACTGGCAAAACCATACATACTAACACTAACAATAGCTCAAAAATCACAACAAAAACCACTAAAATTTCACTAATTTTACTGAACATCTATAGTCATCTCGGGAAAAGATGGATGATTTACTTATACTGCTAAATGAATTAAAAGAAATGCCTAAATTTGTATTGCTAACAGAGCACTGGCTGAGGGAGGAAGAGGTGTGTTTCCTTCCTGATTACAGGGTTTTATCAAGTTTTTGCAGGAAGAATAGATATGGTGGTACAATGATACTCGTTCACGAATCCTTCTTAAGTGACCATGATGTTGTGGATCTGGATACGTGTAACTTTCTTATCAAACAAAACGAATTTGAATTTTCTATAATAAACATGAAAAAACTTAACATTTTTGTAATCTGTGTATACAGACCACCTTCAGGTAAACCACTGGATTTTTTGGAATCCTTGGAGTTACTGTTGTCCCGATTCCCATTGTCATTAAGGTTAATCCTAGCTGGAGACTTAAATATAGACTTCGTTGACATAAATTCCAGAGATACAAAGTCATTGGTCAATCTACTCTCGTGTTTTAATCTCAAAGTATTCGTGAACGAGCCAACACGGATAACTGGTCATACAGCAAAGACTATTGATTACATTTGTAGCAATATCGAACAAAGTTATCTAAGTTGCGACGTAATTCCTTCTGGGATTCCTGATCATGAAGCCCTTACGGCCGAATTGGTACTACAACACGAAAAGCAGAAAAAAATTGTAAAGAAGCGTAACATTTTTAGTACTAGAAACTTTGAGACATTTAGATATTTGGCGGGCACCATCAACTGGGAAATTATCCAAAACCCAGCCAATCCTATAGAGTGTTTTCAAAAAACGGTTATGACTATTTTTAACAAAAGTTTTCCCTCAAGAAAACTGAAAATAAAACCTAAAAAACGATCACAAATGGGATTGGAACTTCGGGCAAAAATATTGGGTCTTTACATACAATAAGAAAGTTTGCAAACTCAGATTGGTTTAATAATTATTTTAATCTATATCGTAGCATATATAAAAAGGTGATACGCGCAGCGAAAAAAAATTACTATCATACAAGGATCAACGCGGCTAACTCTCAAAGAGAATACTGGAAAATAATTTTTCTGCGATTGACAAGAAATGTCAGCATTTTTGACCGGCTGACAGGTCGCAAAACTCAATATTCTGGTATTTTAATTATTTTTCAATAGTTGCTAAGGAATCAATGAATAACAATACCGGAAACACTTTTCCGGCCTAGGCCGGGAAAGTGATTCTCGTACTGCTGAATAATTGGAACCAAAATACAAACATTTAACAGATATTCAACCGATCGCAGAAAAAATTCCTTCCTTCCTTCGGTGTTTGTCAACTTACACCGTCGGCCGAGAATGTGTTACTTTTTCACCTAAATACACAATATACTATAATGAAATGCAAGGGAAACCAGAAAAGACAACAAGCAAACTGAATATTATGTCATCTGAACTAAATCACTTCTACTGTACAATCGCCAGTAAATTAACAAGCAACCTGAAGACAAATGAAGACTCACTAAGCTTTCTACCACCTTTGATACCGACAGACAACTTTGAGATTTTTCCTACAAATATAATAGAATTTAAAAAAATCTTCAATACCATAAAAAAACAAAATTCCACATGTGTTGACAACTTGTCATTAAAGATATTTAAAAATCTGCCAGAAGAAGCTCTCATGGCACTTGTGACTTGCATTAATGATTCCTTTATCACAGGTGAATTTCCAGACTGTTTGAAGTTGGCTGTTGTTGTTCCAATATTTGAAAGTGGGGATGATGAGGATCCATCTAATTACCGTCCAATTTCGTTGTTGACAACACTTTCGAAAGTCATAGAATAGATAGTTAAAACTACAGTGACTCTATACAAGACAGTGGCGACAATAGTGCCTAAGCTCCGCCCACCCACCATGTTTTGTCGAACTCATTCAATAATGTATTTTTTCTTTCTTTTCTTTCTGTTCCAATTTTTTTATCACAAAATAGTCAATAACAGGCAAAAATAACAAAAACAAAAATATATTAACACAAAATTGCTTAAATATCCATAGGATCAAATGGCAAACACAAATAACTTTAGTGCCTAAGCTCCGCCCACCCGCCATGATTTGTCGAACTCATTTAATAATGTATTTGATCTTTATTTTCTTTCTGTTCTAATTTTTTATCACATAATAGTCAATAACAGGCACAAATAACAAAAACAAAAATATATAAATACAAAATTCCATAAATCTCCATAGGATCAAATGGTAAATACAAATAACCTCCACAGATCTGAGAATTCCCAAAAAATTCCAAAAAATGCCAAGGAATTCCAAAAAAAATTCATTTTGGAATTTTTTAGCATTTTTTCTGTTAATTTTTCTTGTTTCCCGAGTTCAAAATTTGGAATTGACAACTCGCAATAAGTATAATTTCAACTTGATAACTCGCAATTAAAGTCTGTTTTTTTTTCCCCAAGTCAAAAATCTAGTAACTATGTTGGCAACACAAACCTTTTATACATAAAAAATCTGAAAGCATTGACAATTTTACATTGTATTGCCAACATAATGTCATTTTGACTTTTATCTGTAAAAAAAAAAACATAATTTAGTATAATTTCGAGTTGACAACTCGTAGTTAACGTCATATCGAGTAGACAACT